AAAGAGACAGACGGGAGAACAGAGAAGAAAAATCAACACTTAACTATTATGTTTAACCATTACGTTTGCAATCAGCTGAAAATTATATGTACACACCTGTATAAAGTAGATCTAGAAATATTAATTAAAGCAGCAATTTCATTCCAACTGAAAGAGAGTGATCTTAAGTACTCAATCTCTTCCTTACGGACATCGAAACGAGGTCTTCCGCGAACACCATTATGTATCAAACCTGGAACACGAACATAGACATTATCATGATGAAGGACAGAATCAGAGTATGATTGCCAATGTGATCTCAGTATCAAAATATTAGCTAGTAAATCAGACAATAATCGTGTCACAGCATTTCCAGCAAAATCTTGTGACAATAACAGTTACTGTAATAAGAGTGCGACAAATACTCTCAAGAAATACGAGCTGCTCCAAAGCGTAACTGGTGTACTGAGAGTTACAAACACTGTATTGGCGTTGATATTCTGTAAGGAACTGCTCCACAGAGGTAAAATAATCATCCCAAGCTTGAGTCTCCATTTTACCAGGCTAATGTCCAGTATTGTCCACACCCATCGATCAATTAAATTGTGTCCCCTCCCATTCCCACCCAAGTGGGCCCCGTTGGGGGTTCAGATTTTTGAGCTAAGAATACATGGGCGTAGGGGTTCTGAGGACGTATATGTTATGAGAACGTAGGGGTTATTAGGACGTAGGGGTCCCGAGAACGCATGGGTTTTGAGAACGCAGGGGTCATGCATTATAACGTAGAGGTTATTGCATTATTACGTACGTATGGCATTTGCATTACGTATTTTTGACACAAATGGCTTGCCATAGTACCGTCAGGTGTCAAATTTTAATCATGGCTCAACAAAATGGTTGTCCAGAAATTGTGCAGGCAAAAGGACACATATTGTTTCCAATTTTAGATTATACTGCCAGGACAGTGCATGGTCAACAGAAGCAGATTGATGCCATTCAAAATAAAGTGACAACTCTTGAAGGTACTTGTTCTTCTTTCAGTTCTTTGCACGAGGCTCAGCAAGAATTCATGAAACTAATGACTATGTATGGAGAAAGTACTTTCAATATTAAGAAAACACACTATCAGGTTTAGCTCTGAATATTTTTATTATACATGGTTACTTGCATGCCTATGTGGCTTTGTGGTTAGCCTGTGCTGTAATGCCTACCTCTTTCTGTTATGTATATTTTAAGGGGTAATTTAGTGTATAATGCATTATACAATGTTATAACTCTTGCCTTTTCAAGTTATAATGTGTGTACGTCAGTAATTGCAATGACTGCTAAGCCCTTTTAATTCAGTGTAGTATAACAGTTGTGGCATTTTGATATATTGTTCATAATTGTTGTGATGAATAGGCACCATTGAGATGAGGTATTGCTGACTTGTACTGCTGCTCTCTTTTTAGAAAACCCAGTGATGAGGAAGTTAATGTGAGTATGAAATTTGTATTATTAACTTTATTTTACGATTTATTAGAAATTGGTTAATTCTGTTCTTCGAAGTGATAAGAAGTATAAATATAAGTACACTGCAGCTCTAAAGTATGTCAATGGATTATTAGCTACATTTAGGAGTGAGGAAAGAAGACGGGTAAGAGCCACAGTTTTTATCATAATATCACATAATATAGGTCTTACAACCAACTGGGAAGTACAAGGACCAAAACACTAAGGCATTAGCTGAACTGATTATTGGATATATGAAAGCATCTTATTCTGACTCATTTAATCATTATTATCAAAATTTGGTGTTATTGGTAAGTATGCACACTGCATCTTATATTAATTATGCATATGTATTTTTAATTATTATAACCTTTGCTAGAGAAAGTATGTTAGAGAACATCCTTCTGCTAAATCTGAAAAGAATCTATTTGGCTGCTTCAAAAAATGGGTCAATGAAACTTGTGGATTTGCTTCTAGCAAATCTATAGCTCCCAGTAAGTGGCAGGAATGGATTGCAGAGGATGAGAAATGTAGTTATGTGGATGGAGATAGTGATGAGATGGCAACTTCTCAGGGCGATAATGAGCCACTACCACCAGAGGATAATGATAATATGGTTATACCTGATGATGATGATGATGGATATCCTGATCTTTATGATTAATCATCAGTTCATCACATACACAGCCAAGAGTTTGTGATTGATTCATGAATGATGTCAGTCCTGATCCGGCCTAATGCATCCTGAATCATGGATGTTGGGCAGCTAATATGGCATAGAGCATAGCTGAATCTATCAGCCTTGATACAATCATGCTGGAATTCATACTGGTTCAGCCAGAGCAACATGTATGATTCAGCAATGATACCTGTCAGACTGTATCAATACTGTAATCAGGCTCGATTCATTGATTTTGGGCAGTGTCTTATATCATACCTGTGAACTCTTGGCTGTGTACTGTTTAGACTATGTACATTTTTTTAATTTTTCCATTTATCACTTGATTTTGGTGACATTGATCATTCATGCTATTGTGTTAATCAGCATTGATAACCCTTTCTATTATAATCTGATTAATTTAAATACTAGTATCATGTTTGTTGTCAGAGTTGATACATGAACAGCATGAATCAAGCATTGCTGTATCATCTTGTTACCCATACATGAATCATAAGGTTACGGCATACTGAATCACTTCTGATGCAAATCTGTTCGAAACAAACACGAATGCGACCATGAATCACAATGATGACTTGTCAGGATGATACATGCTAACTCTTGCATGCTCTTGGCTGTGTAGTTACTAGTTATTGAATGCGGAAAATTAGAATCTATACGGTGATAACTACCGCCCACGCAGTTACAATCCCTTTATACTCTATTATCTATGGTACGTGCGTGCGGCGCTGCTTTGTGTTGAATTGAAGCGAATTTGATTGTTGAACAAAATATGTCTGAAGATCCACAACAGCAAGGATTCCCTGGATATCCGCCAGCTGACTACCCGCCAAGCTATCCTCCTCAGCAAGGTTATCCTCCACAGCAAGGGTACCCTCCTCAGCAAGGTTATCCCGCTCCACAGCAAGGTTATCCCGCTCCACAACAAGGGTACCAACCTCCTCCCCAAGTACAGCAGCAGCAGTCAACTAATGTTAATGTAACAGTTCAACAGCAGCCATCTGCAGTAAGAACAGATTACTTATGTGTCACTAATAGTTATTATTTCTTTTCACTTGCAACAGACTGTAGTGGTGAAAAAAGATGACCGTCCCAATCACATCCTACACTGCATCATTACTTTCTTTTGTCCAATTTGGATATTTGTGTGGATTATTCTTTGCTGCGTTTATGGATGTTAAAATTGCACCTAGCAATTTTTACTGAGCTATCATTTAGTCTATGTGGCTGGTTTGATGCCATATTAGGCTTTAGCGTAGTTTTAGTGTAGACACATATTTAACTGTATATATATAAATACTAATAGTGTATTTTTGCAAGTTGGTTATTAAATTGTGTGTTTTTTTCCTGTTCTCTCTATTTCAAGGCTACTACACAAGTTGTAGCTAGTCCTATTCAACACTTCCTATGTTTTCTGTATAACTAAGACTATATGATTACTCTTATCTTCTGTTGTTGTGTGTTGTAAAGTAATAATAATAATAATAATAATAATAATAAATGCACTATGGTGAATTTGTGGAGCCGGCTGCATAAATGTGTCAAAAAACATCCATGGATTTTGGCACGCCATGCCATTATTGTTGCCAATACTCCGCCTATCTACGTCTCCTGAAATCATAGATACTACATAAACACATGGATATGAAACAGGAAGTTGGTATCCAATTAACTCTTT